AGGATCGGTGCTGACCGGCACTCACCAGCCCGAGAGGCTTGTCTGCTCACCCGCCGGGGCGGGCGGGGCTGCGAGCTGAGGCTCGGGCTTCGGTCGCAGCGCCGGGAGAGGACTGGGGTTGGCGGCGTGAACACAGCCTGAAGGGGTTAGTGCGCCACAGCTAGCCGGGAGGGAGTCCGGGAAAAGTCTGGACCTCCCGAAGAGGCAAGAGACTTTGTCTTCCCTCTTTGTTTCCTGGTGCGCGAGGAGAGGGGATTAAGAGCGCTGCTTAAAGGAGCTCCAGAGACGGGCGTGGCCGTGGCTAAAAGCGCGGACCCCAGAGACGGGCATGAGACGCTAAGGCTGCTGCTGCCGCCACCAAGAAGCCTGTGTGCGAGCACAGGTCACTATCCACACCGCCCCTCCCGAGAGCCTGTGCAGCCCGGCACTGCCAGGGTCCCGGGATCCAGGGAAAACTTCCCCGGGAGAACGCACAGCGCGCCTCAGGCTGGTACAACGTCACGCCGGCCTCTGCCGCCTCAGGCTCGCCTCGCATCCGTGCCCCGCCCTCCCACCGGCCTGAGTGAGCCAGAGCCCCCAGTCAGCGGCTCATTTAACCCAGTCCTGTCTGAGTGATAGAACAGACGCCCTCTGGCGACCTACACGCACAGGCGGGGCCAAATCCAAAGCTGAGCCCCTGGGAGCTGTGAGAACAAAGAAGAGAAAGGGAAATCTCTCCCAGCAGCCTCAGGAGCAGCGGATTAAAGCTCCACAATCAACTTGATGTACCTGCCTCTGTGGAATACATGAATAGACAACGAATCATCCCAAATCGAGGAGGTGGGCTTTGGAAGCAAAGATATATATATTTTTCCCCTTTTCCTGTGTGAGTGTGTATGTGTATGCTTCTGTGTGTGATTTTTTCAGTATAGCTTTGCTTTTACCATTTGTCCTAGGGTTCTAGCCATCCGTTTTTGTTTTTGTTACTTTAAAAAATTTTTTTCTTAATAATTATCTTTTATTTTAATAACTTTATTTTATTTCACTTTATTTTATCTTCTTTCTTCCTTCCTTCCTTTCTTTCTCTCTCTTTCTCTCTCTCTCTCTCTTTCTTTCTTTCATATTTTCTCCCTTTTATTCTGAGCTGTGTGGATGAAAGGCTCTTGGTGCTGCAGCCAGGAGTCAGTGCTGTGCCTCAGAGGTGGGAGAGCCAACTTCAGGACACTGGTCCACAAGGAACCTCCTGGCTCCATGTAATATCAAACAGCGAAAATCTCCCAGAGATCTCCATCTCAACACCAGCACCCAGCTTCACTCAACGACCAGCAAGCTACAGTGCTGGACACCTTATGCCAAACAACTAGCAGGACAGGAACACAACCGCATCCATTAGCAGAGAGTCTGCCTAAAATCATAATAAGTCCACAGACACCCCCAAAACACACCACCAGACATGGACCTGCCCACCAGAGAGACAAGATCCAGCCTCATCCAACAGAACACAGGCACTATTCCCCTCCACCAGGAACCCTACACAACCCACTGAACAAATCTTAGCCGCTGGGGACAGGCACAAAAAACAATGGGAACTACGAACCTGCAGCCTGAGAAAAGGAGACCCCAAACACAGTACGTTAAGCAAAATGAGAAGACAGAAAAACACACAGCAGATGAAGGAGCAAGGTAAAAACCCACCAGACCTAACAAATGAAGAGGAAATAGGCAGTCTGCCTGAAAAAGAATTCAGAATAATGATAGTAAAGATGGTCCAAAATCTTGGATATAGAATAGTCAAAATGCAAGAAACATTTAACAAGGACCTAGAAGAACTAAAGAGCAATCAAACAATGATGAATAACACAATAAATGAAATTTAAAATTCTCTAGAAGGGATCAATAGCAGAATAACTGAGGTAGAAGAACGGATAAGTGACCTGGAAGATAAAGTAGTGAAAATAACTACTGCAGAGCAGAATAAAGAAGAAAGAATGAAAAGAACTGAGGACAGTCTCAGAGAACTCTGGGACATTAAATGCACCAATATTCGAATTATAGGGGTTCCAGAATAAGAAGAGAAAAAGAAAGGGAATGAGAAAATATTTGAAGAGATTATAGTTGAAAACTTCCCTAGTATGGGAAAGGAAATAGTTGGTCAAGTCCAGGAAGCACAGAGAGTCTCATACAGGATAAATCCAAGGAGAAACACGCCAAGACACATATTAATCAAACCACCAAAAATTAAATACAAAGAAAAAATATTAAAAGCAGCAAGGGAAAAACAACAAATAACACACAAGGGAATCCCCATAAGGTTAACAGCTGATCTTTCAGCAGACACTCTGCAAGCCAGAAGGGACTGGCAGGACATATTTAAAGTGATGAAGGAGAAAATCCTACAACCAAGATTACTCTACTCAGCAAGGATCTCATTCAGATTTGATGGAGAAATTGAAACCTTTACAGAGAAGCAAAGGATAAGAGAATTCAGCACTACCAAACCAGCTTTACAACAAATGCTAAAGGAACTTCTCTAGGCAGGAAACACAAGAGAAGGGAAAGACCTGCAATAACAAAGCCAAAACAATTAAGAAACTGGGAATAGGAACATGCATATTGATAATTACCTTAAATATAAATGGATTAAATGCTCCAACCAAAAGACATAGATTGGCTGAATGGATACAAAAACAAGACCCTTATATATGCTGGAGAGGGTGTGGGGGAAAGGGAACCCTCTTGCACTGTTAGTGGGAATGTAAATTGATACAGCCACTATGGAGAACAGTATGGAGGTTCCTCAAAAAACTAAAAATAGAACTACCATACGACCCAGCAATCCCACTACTGGGCATATAGCCTGAGAAAACCATAATTCAAAAAGAGTCATGTACCACAATGTTCATTGCAGCTCTATTTACAATAGCCAGGACATGGAAGCAACCTAAGTGTCCATCAACAGATGAATGGATAAAGAAGATGTACCAAATATATACAATGGAATATTAGTCAGCCATAAAAAGAAACGAAATTGAGTTATTTGTAGTGAGGTGGATGGACCTAGAGTCTGTCATACAGAGTGAAGTAAGTCAGAAAGAGGAAAACAAATGCTGTATGCTAACACATATATTTGGAATCTAAAAAAAAAAAAAAAATGGTCCTGAAGAACGTAGGGGCAAGATGGGAATAAAGACACAGACCTACTAAAGAATGGACTTGAGGATATGGGGAGGGGGAAGGGTAAGCTGGGACAAAGTGAGAGATTGGCATGGACATATATACACTAGCAAACGTAAAATAGATAGCCAGTGGGAAGCAGCCGCATAGCACAGGGAGATCAGCTCAGTGCTTTGTGACCACCTAGAGGGGTGGGATAAGGAAGATGGGAGGGAGGGAGACGCAAGAGGGAAGAGATATGGGGACATATGTATATGTATAATTGATTCCCTTTGTTATAAAAACAGAAACTAACACACCATTGTAAAGCGCTCCATGAGATAGTGTAATTCTTTGTTTTTGTTTACTGTTATATTTCATTTTACCTGTCAGATTTTTGACATTCGATAATTGGTAAAGAAATAAATATTCAAGATAGTGCCTTTATTTTCTTTGCAATGTTTTAAAACACAGCTCTGTAATTTTCTGTCTTTTTTTTTAATGATACAAGATCCCATCAGACCTGTCACATAGTAACCAGCTGTGGGTGATTTTTCCAAATTTCTGCTTTTGTGATTAATGAATCTTTTCTCAGGTTTACTGTTTGAGAATAGGTTAATATATATAACTTCCAGTGTAATTCCGAGATTGTAGCAAGCATTCATGTTGTGTGACTTTGGTATACTGAGGAACATCTTCTCCTGTCATGTGGCTTGTTTTTTTGTGTCTCTTTATCAAGGGCTCTATGTGAATTTTTTTTTAAAGGAGATGTCCTGGCTGTATCACAAATGTTTTGAATCAGAATCTCATGTGGGTGTATGATTGTGGTTTCTTTTAAAAAAGTGTTTCACAGTTGATTCTGATGACCCGCTTTTTTTTTTTTTTTTTTTGCTATTCAGAATAAAAACTACAACTTCTAGCATTCCCTATAATAAAGCTGCCATCACTAGCAAATGCAGTATTCAAATATTTGTTCTCATTCACTCTACTTCTTATCCTACTTGTGAGGGTGTGAAAGATCTCTGTGCACCAAACAGAAACACACAAAAAGCCATGCAATTGAGAGAGGGTTGGTAAATGATTTGGTGCAGACTCCATTTCTGCCAGAGAGCAGACAAACAAAATGAAGACACATCTTTTAAATGGGCTTTGCTTTCTCAGGTTAATGTCAGCGTTTCTTAATCCATATCCATGGGCTTGAAAGAAACTTAACACATTCTGTAATATGTTGTCTGACAGTTGCAGCTTGGAAATTTTCTATTCTATTTCTTCAGCAGTATTTTAATGAGAGGTTGGAAGAAGATGTATCAAGTGCTGCTAGTCAAATTAGAAATTAATAAGGTCTGGGAAATATATGACTTAACACATGAATGACAGATGTCGCGATAGCATAAGCCCTCCATCATACTAGACTTTAGGCTTGAGTAACATAGTCCAAACTGGTTTTGGTTCTTGTTTTAAAAAGAAAGGTATTAAGCTTTTCTTCTTATTTAGACTATTAATTTCTCTCTTCCTTTTTCACCTCTACCTATCTTCTAGTCACCGGTTTTATTGCGTTACAATTACCTGAGCAAATACATTTTCTTCTATTACATATTAACCATACCTTTCACTTTAAATTTGTATAGATCATATATTCTAATCTTAACCACAAATGCATAGCCACACCCTAACAATGAGTACTCCCATTTTTTCCCATTTATAGTTTGTTTCATTGTCATAAATTCATAGGTGATTCATTGTTCCATCATTAGTATAGAATGTGAAAATTGTCAGTGAAGGGACCAGGAACTGCTCAGAAATAACATCCTACTCAATTAATACAATGTTAGTTGAAAACACAGCAGCAGAAGAATTTTTTTCTCCCCTTAAATATGTGTTTCACGGTCCACTGCAGTATCACTACTTAACGGTTCTAAGTTCGCTTCGTTCACGGATTTTCTTTCATTTTCTGATGTCTTGATATCTTTTCCTTGATATTTTTTCTTCATAACAGAAATTAATACAACATATAAAACAAGAGCTGGGAGTTTTAAGCCTGTAGTCAAGCCAAAGAAAGTATTTCTGTGAAAAGAGAAAAAAAGTCAGTTTTTACTTGGAAAACACTTTACAGTGTTGCTCTGCAGTATGCAGAAGGCCTTTAAAAAATGATGTTTGAAATCTTACATAAAAACATTGAAGTAGCAATTTCAGTGATTCTTTTGATTGGCGCATAAGAAGTTTGTGATTATTTTTAAAGGACTATTAACCCACAGAAACTAAGGATGGTTCACGATCTGCCCAAGTGCTATCCGTAAAATAAGGTATATTTGGAATGTTTAACTTTCTCAGAGACAGATTAGTTCATGTGTAATGAGAACAGATTATAAAGGAAATGAACTGACTGTGAGATAATCAGATTGAATCCATTTATATTGAACCAGGAGCCAGTGTTTACCTTATAGGCTTGCTGTCTACGAAGCCCTGCCCTGTGGTCTACTGAAAATTTTTCACAAAGCCAAATAAAATTACCTAGTACACATGGTCTAGTCCAAGGATTCTCAGCTTTGATTGAACATAAGAATCACCTAAGGAGATTTTAAAACTCCCATTCCCCAGGCCACACCCCCTGACCAATTAAATCAAAATTGAAATAAGTATTTCAAAATAGAAATTAGCATTTTGGGGGAATTCCCTGGTGGTCCAGTGGTTAGGACTCCATGTTTTTACTGCTAAAGGTGCGGGTTCAATCCCTGGTTGGGGAACTAAGATCCTGCAAGCTGCATGGCACAGCCAAAAAAAAAAAAAAAGGAAAAAAATAAATTAATATTTTTTAAAGCTCCTCAGGTGATTATAATGAGCAGGAAAGATTGATGACCACTTACCTGGTACGTTGAGAAGCAGTCGCCTCATAACATTATTAACTAATAACATTATTAACTAAATGTTGAGAAGCTTTATGCAAAAGATACTTTGAACAATTATTAGGTTTAACTGAATGGAATTAATTCTATAACCTTGAGTTGTTTACAAAGTTTATTAAATGGTAGCTGTAATTCCTAATATTATTATTACACTGAAAATATCTCATTCTTTAGTAATTAACATAGTCAAAGGAAAAAATCAATTAATGAAATATATTTATGACAACTTACCCATATAATGTGGAATTGTATATCCGACAAGACCCTTGCTTCCCATAGTTGTTGACAGACCACTTCATACAAGCTCTATCAATCAGAGCCCCAAAATATATAGGAGCTGGAATTCCTCCTGCAACATAAGATGAGAAGATGTCAACCCAAGGAACATATTTCAAAGGAAAAAGTGATATTCCACACTGATATATTTGGATTATGTAGAAATTAAAAATTTTGAAAAAAAAAATTTTGGAGCACTTGTCCATTGATTTGGCCTAACTCTACTCAAGAATCAAGATTATGAGGAATCTCCAAAGCTCAAATCACATACAATAGCGTAGACATCTTTTATCTACCCTCACCATGCCAACACATGTAGGGAAGAAGGAAGATTATATGCCTGTACATTGTTCTTCTTATAATGCCAATTAACTTAAGCCTGGTTGGTAAAAAGGAGAATGTTGTCAGTAAAACATAGAAGTTATATTGGTTCATATGTAATTTTTCTTAGGCAAGGAAGGACAGCTAGAATAGTAGAGTTATAACTTCACAGGGAAAGGGAAAATCTCTCAGTTCAATTGCTGCAAAGGCAAGAGATTTTTCAACTCTATTTTTAAGTAAATTAAAAGGTGGGGGCTTCCCTGGTGGCACAGTGGTTGAGAATCTGCCTGCTAATGCAGGGGACACAGGTTCGAGCCCTGGTCTGGGAGGATCCAATATGCCACGGAGCAACTAGGCCCGTGAGCCGCAACTACTGAGCCTGCGCGTCTGGAACCTGTGCTCCACAACAAGAGAGGCCGTGATAGCGAGAGGCCCGTGCACTGCGATGAAGAGTGGCCCCCGCTTGCCACAACTAGAGAAAGCCCTCACACAGAAACGAAGACCCAACACAGCAAAAATTAATTAATTAATTAATAAACTCCTACCCCCAACATCTAAAAAAAAAATCTTAAAAAAAAAAAAAGGTGAATGCCAACACTAGGACTTCCTCCCCAGAGAAACACAGGCCCAGCTTCACTGAGTGCTAGGCTCCTGGTAGGCTGTGCTTTTTTTTTTGGCCTCAGGGCTCCACTCCCACCTTCTTGGAGTCATGAAGCATTTTCTCTCCATTGATTGTGTTCTTTTTTTTTTTTTTTTTTTTGCAGTACGCGGGCCTCTCACTGTTGTGGCCTCTCCCATTGTGGAGCACAGGCTCTGGACGTGCAGGCTCAGTGGCCATGGCTCACGGGTCCAGCCACCCTGCGGCACACGGGATCCAACCGGACCGGGGCACGAACCCGTGTCCCCTGCATCGGCAGGCGGACTCTCAACCACTGTGCCACCAGGGAAGCCCGATTGTATTCATTTTTAATACCTCCTGAAGCAGCCTGGGCTGTCCAAGGGCCTGTGGTGCTGAATTTTGCTTCTGTTGATGTTCTGATCATAATGATGCCTAGGTCTCTTCAGTGGCCTGTACCTAACCCAGTTTTTATTTGTAGTGTATGATTTTGCAGAATTTGAGGATTTTCAGGAACACACATGTTGTCTTATAGCAGAAGTGCCCATGTGCTTTTACTGCTATTTTAATAAACTCTGACATTGACTCCTAATTCTAAGCATTAGTAACTTGACCAGATTTTATAGATATGCTAATTTTCAAATTTTATATTGTTACATAAAAATGGTAGTGATTCATAGTTTACAGTTTTGCCAATTTCATTTACTTTTAATCAGTCTCAATTTTCTGAGAGTGAGAAATCTTAGAATGTCAATGAACTGGTGTCTGAGACGAATATATCTGAGGAAAACTGTTACTGAGAAACTGGATTAGGAATTCACAGGTTTCTACAAATCTAAGCCATTCCTTTGAAAAATGAAAACTATGTACCAACAATTTATTTTTCTTATATAAAAATAACACTGGTTTGATCAAACTTAATGAATTAAATGTTTCAGGTAACAAAGTTGGTCTTATATTATTGAAAATTTAAAACTTCAGATAACTTGTTTTCCAAATACCTGTTTCAGTTTAATATACCTTCCACAATTTACATTGTATTCAGACAGTTGTTTGTGACTGGACATTTGGTCCTCAGTATGTATTTCTCCCCTAGATGAGTTAGATTCCATTGGGCCATATACTGGATGTATCAAAATAGGATGCTCAAAATCAGAATAGCAAAATCCTTTTTTTCTATTTTACGTCTCTAGAGGAACTTCTTCTATTCTCAATCTCATTTCAGCATATCAGAAGGAATACTAGCTCCCCAAATTCTCTTTCTATCTGCTAACTTCTATAGCTTAGATTCTAGGAGTGAGGCATCTCCATTGGATCTAGAGGAACTGCCAGGATTGGACAGAGAGCTACAAAAGACAAGGTAGAAACTTTAATGCACATAGCTAACTGAAAGAAGGCAGTCTGAAAAACTACTTACGGTATGATTCCAACTATATGATCCTCTTCCATAAAGTTTGCACTATTCCTGCCAGCTGGAAATAACTATCCTCTTTAGAACTCTTAGCACTTTGTAGCTCACTCACAGCCCTTATCCTACAGTACCTCCATCTTCTCCTTCTCTCCCATACCTTTTATATTTTCTCCTTTTACCTTTGAGGATCTGTGATTTTCTCCCAAATATACTTGTTGGACACCTGCTCCATTGTAACTTGGCCATAGTTATGCTTCTTTCTTTTGCTTGCAAGAGTCCCAAGGATTGACGCCCTCCCATTTCCTTTTCTTTCAGCCATCGGTGGTTGCCTCCCGGCCATGATCAGTTGCCTACCCCAATTCCTAGAGCAATCATGTCCTTTTCCTACTTCCCAGGAATAAGCATATAATGTTAACAGGTCTTAAAAAGCAGTAGCACAGGGGTTAGGTTAGAAGTTGTTAAGCTACCAACAGGAAACTGTATGGTATAAATGGCAAATGGCAACAAAGGGAAAAGGATAATTTTCTAAATCTTGTACTAATCACCTCATCTGAATATTTAGAAATAGGCCTTTAGCCTCTAGATTCTATAGTATTACTATTTGACAGCAACAACAAAACACAACTTCCTGAGCTTTCTTTCATTCAGAGCACTCCCTATTCTAAGATGCTCAGTTCTAGAATTTTAGTTCCCATGAAACCAAGCAGAACCCTGTGGGCCCCTGCAAGTACAAAGTTCCCTCCATGTCCCCTGCCTCTTGTTTGTAGAAAAGATGAAGTCTCCCAGGCCTTCCTGAGTCACAAAAGAGCAAGCTCAAGCAGTTAATGATTAGGACAGCAGAGTCACAGAATCTTTCCAGTGTCTCATGTACATCCCTGAGTTGTGTTGCAGATACCATAACTGCCACCAAAGAGAAAAAGCTAACCGCCTAATGACCAGCCTGTAGCCATGCCATAAGCTGCTCCATCTATGGCTAGCACAATTCCAAGAACTGGCTTCAGATAATGGGATTAACATTATTGCTCATGATAATCTATATTTTGTGGGCATCAAAATAATTGTAGTTTACTCTGCCTGTATATGTAGGTGGGCATCTAAAATTATCAGCAAAAAGATACTACAGATCCATGTCGACATCTTCCACTTTAAGAATACAATGCCCTATGTCGGCATGAAATTATAGAAGATGGACTTTCATCCCTAATCCCATGGAATGGAATGATGTCTGACAAGCAGCTCTTTTGCTCCTTTTCTGTTTGTCTATTTCTGTTCCCCTTAAACCTTAATTATAAAAATCAGATCACTAGGTAACATTTAACCTAACTCCTGACTTGTGCTCTACTTAATGCACACCATGCGTTGCCTAACCTGTTGATTCTTTTCCTAGATTAAAAGAAGTAGGAATGAAGAATTAAGTAATTAAAAATGATTGACTCTCTATCCCCAGTGCCCCCTTGGCAAACTTGCAAGCAGACCACATGGGCAAGATAGCATCCAAAGGAAGATCAGGAGTAGTCAGCAAGTCTGCATGAAGTGAAAAAATGATGAGGAATCTGACCTCCTACCTTAATAATTAACTGAGATTATTTCCCCTTTTTCCCTTTAAAAACTATCATGGCTGAGCAGAATCTTCAGAGATGGTTTTGGGATGAGTCTGCCTTCTCCCTAGATTGCTGGCTTTTCTGATTAAAGCAACTTTCCTTTCTACCAACACTTGCCTCTCAAATATTGGCTTTTGAACAGGGAACAGCCAGACCTGAGTTCAGTAACATCCATTCCCTTCTGCATTTTAAATTTCTATTAAAGGTTATCTGCCCCAGCCTTAGAGAACTAGTCTGAGGGACTGTGAAAGTCCTCATCTGTTGTTTTGCACAATCTCCCAGGTCTCCTGAGCTGTTTTGGGCATTACGCCCCTCAGCATAGAAGGAAGGTCCTGCACTCTGCATATGGGAAGAAATATTCCTAAGTCTTAAATTAAATTCTTGGAGACCACTGATCTTTGTTTTAGAAAGAATATAATACAACTATGATGATGCCTTTTTCTTACAGATTGATTCTAAATAGAACTGACAATGAAGTTCTCTTTTAGGTCATTTAGTTCTCCTTTATCTCATTATTTTTCATTTACCACAAACATTAAAATGATATTTTACTTATACCTTTTTAAAGAAACTTTCTGATAATTGGAAATCAGTTACATTCAGTCTTTGAGCTTTGACATGAAAATTTATACCTGGAATTTATCATCTACATATTTATCATACCTAGTGTTCGAATAGTTAGTGAATGGAAACCCATGGCAAGTGATTTCAGTTCAGGTTCAACATTTCTGAAATAAGATAAAGGCAAAGCAACATTAAGCATCTCTAAAATACCAGATTGAGCTAAATATTAAAGCATTTCTCAGTGTTGTTCTTCATGATCTAATGAAAATCCTCAAGTGAAGAGCAGATATTATTTAAAGTTATATTTTCAGTTGTTTTAGAAGGCAAACATCTGAATGATATTAACAGTTCTTATTTCTTTACTTATTCAATGTGTTACAATTTCAAGACAGTTTTACAAACATTTCCACATTTGATCCTTAGAAAATCCTGAGATAGTGGTTGGAATAGACTTTATGATATCTATGAAGACAGTGATTTCATGTGATCTATTCAGTTGACACCTGCCATATGAGAGAGCAAATACTTTTATGTAGGTCTTGGTCTGAGCAGAACTCTTTTTACTACTTCATTTCTATCATTGCTCTTAACAGAAAAGTTGACTAATATGATTCATAAACTACATAATATAACCAGGAAGGTCAAAAAAGATATCTGTATTCTACTGTCTAGTGTATTTAAATGTCATTTTAAAGGTAGCAAATACACTTGTATCCTCTCACAATTTAACTCACTTTTGCATTTAGAAAGTTATTTCCACAATTCCATATTTCTGTGTTCAATGAGCTGATGATATAACCAACTCTGTAATAACCTAATACATATCAAGCAAAATAAATTATCTGACTGTAGTGGCAAGATGGGGGAGGGTGACTGAGGCTCAGAAGTTCTGTTTTTACCGAAATATTGAATTAACTGATACAAAGGTTTATTTTTTTTCTTGAATGACTGTATGTGTTCAGAGATAAGTAAATTTAGTCATTCAACAAACATTTGCCATGTGCCTCCTAGGAGACTCTATGCTAGTCTTTGTTATTGATATAAAGAGATAAATCATGTTTATAGTAACTAAATGCCTTAGATAAGTCATTCAGCCTCTCTTAGCCTCAGTTTCCTTATCTGCTAAGTAGTCTTATCTTGGGTGTTGTGAGGATACAATGTAATAAGCTAGCCCTCTAAACCTCAATTTTCTTTACACAAAATTGCCCTTTAAGCCTTGTAGGAGAGCTACCCTTGAGTGAGATTCTCAAAAGTATTCAAGAAAGCTTATAAAAGTAAACAGGATAAAAAATTAAACATAGCATAATAAAAATTAAACACAGCAGAGTTATGTATTAAGAAAGAAAATGAATGGAAAGGGTTTTTCCTCTGCTTTTGCAAAAGGCAGGGACACTTCCACTAGCCGAGCTGAGGACACAAAACACTATCCTTGAGGGCAGTGAAGCCATGCCAGTAAGTAGATGAGGTCATGTTATTCAAAGAGGTGAGTTCTTCCCTGAGGAAATTGTCATGAGGGAATCAGCCATGACAGTTAACTAGTCCAGTTAGCTGTCTCTCTCAAATATCAGATTTCTTAAAAGGGCTTTTGGGAAGAGAGAGAATGCAGTTTGTTCCTGGTTGAATTTTCTGTGACAAGTGCCTGAAGTGTCACTTTTCATTGCAGTTGATTTTTTAAAGGGTGTATTTGGCTTACAAGCTGGATGCAATAGAGGCAAAATTGAGATGTTTGTTATCAACTTGTATTTTTACCCAGGGAGAGGGCTAGTGTGTAGGAGAATTGAGCGGACTTGGGGATAGTGATAATATCTTCCTGAAAGGGAACTTGAAATCTTAGACAACTCAGTGGAAATGATAGACTTATGTGATATAATGACACACAACACACATACACACATATACAGTGACAATCACACTCCTACATTCACATGGATGCACACTTACAGACCCTCATGCTCATACTTACATGCACACTCTCAACACACACACACACACACACACACACACACACACATTTTTATCATGTAAAGTATTGGTCACTGCAGCATGAGTCCTACCTCAATCTGATAGTGATCAGCTCTGTATTTTGATCAACATTTCTCAGGATGGATTCTCCACAAAAAGCACCTCCTATCGTAGCCTTCTGTTTCCTCTGATTCTGTTCTTGCCTCCCAAAGACATATTTTCCACCCAACAGCCAGTGATCTTCTAATTGGATAAGATAGTTGTATAATTCTACTGCTCAGATCTCTCTGCTGGCTTCTTAATACAATGAGAGTAAACTCCAAAGTCTTTATTGTGACCCATAGGGTCTGTGCTCTCTGCACCATGCCTGCTCTCTCATTGTATTTCTTACCTCTTTCTTCTTCGTACAGTCCTCCTGGTCTTGTACATGTCAAGTATGTTCCACCTCAGGACTTTTACCTCCACTGCTACCTTCCCTGGATTGCTCTTCACCTGTTCATATCTGCATGATTTGTACCCTCAATCTTTATTCAGGTCTCATCAAATGACTTTCAATGGAAGGTATCTGAATTAGTACTGCTTCTCCACCCCCTCTTCTTTCTTTGCTTTTCTTTTTTCCTTTCTTTTTTCCTCATCAGGTTATTCTCATCTATGGTCTCCCCTTTCCCACACTGGGGGAACATCAAGTCAGGCTGTGGTGACAGTGGAATGGGGATCCTAAAGCAGACCCTGCCATTGCAATTTACAGAGACAGAGGGTAATTAAAACCCTAGTTAGTGAAGATGCAGTGCGCCTCCTTCCTCACCAGAATTTAGTGACGGAGGGCTCTGCCAAGGGCCTGAGCAATGTACTGTAGACTTGGCTGTTAGGCTTCTTAATGTTTAATTTTTTTGGATACATGGTGATTAGCTAATTGCATTTTACTGGAGATGCAGGCCGTTGACCTAGTGAGGCTGGAGGTTCAGATGCTCATGGAATGTCGTGGTCTAGTTTGGTGATCCATCTCTTTCAATGGCTCAGACAGGTGATTGAATAAAATCCCCAGAAATGCACTTGGTAGACTAACCACACTTTGTAGAAGTGAAGTAGGTTGTTTATCATGCACATCCAGATCATAGCTTTAGCCTCAATTATTCTATAATATGTGGATTTCTTCAAAACTTAACTATTCTTGCAGAGAGGGTGGCTTTTACTAAGAGGAAAGGGGCTCTTATGATGAGTCGTCTTCTATAACTCCTGTCCAATTTTTAAAGATTCACAGAGTTGGTTGAGCTTTCAAATTCTTGGGAGGGAACAGTCTGAAACTACCATTTCTTTAAAACAGTGTTGTAAAAAAATGCTTTTGAAATTATTTCGAAAAAAGTTTTTGAAATTAATTATTCTTGCAGAAAAGTTGCAAGAATAGTACAAGAATTCCTTCCTTATTCCTGTCATCTGTATTTCCAAGCATTAAAATTTTATTACCTTTTCTATATTTTTACTCTGATTTTTTCTTCCTAATGCTTAACACTTCTTTTTTTTGTGTATTTACATGCTTATTTATTTATTGTTTCTTCTCCTACACCCATCCACTCTCCCATCCCTCAACCCAATGAAAGCTAGTGAAAGGAAAGCCCTTATCACTTTTGTTCACAGTTCCATCCGTGGCCCCTAGAACCGTGCCTAACATATATACTGAATGTGTAAATATCAACACTCCTGCTTAGTCTAGTTTTAATAATAGCCTTATGATGTAAGCATTGGGGAATCATTAATAGACTGAAGTTTATATTTTTATTCCACAGTCTGCCTCACAAAAGTTCTCTTTCAATAAAATCGAAGAGAAATCAATAATGTTGATGTGAGAAATCAATAAATGTTGATGTGAGAAATCAATAAATGTTTTTGATAAATGGTAATGTTGATCTTACCACTTTCTTATTAAGATAAAATTATCATCAATGTTGTAACAGTTTTCTCTAAAATTCTCGTTCTCCTCATGAAAAATTTTAAATTAAGAAGCCAAGACTTGTTGAGATGCAAGCTAATTTGGAGTTTTGAGACAACTTCCTGTAATTTAATGAATCTGTAATTTGGCAAATATGGAAAGCTTCTCCTTTTGAGTAGACAGTATTTTATGGTAAGGTAGAGCTTTATCTGTGGAATAAATTAGTATAAATAATTTGACAAGATTTAAGGGTCATTGTGGAATTTAAACAACTGTAGTCTCAGTTTATAGCTTTATACTCATTTTAAAAAACATTAATATATTTGTTTTCTTTCCCTTCTAAGTCATGCTGTTGGCTGACCGTGAACCTGTTGCTAACTACTTATGTCTTAAAAGTATAACTAGAGGTTAACCCAGATCACCATATTTACACATATATATTTTAATACCTACATGCAAGTCTTTACATGCTTTCACTTTTAGGTGATTGAATGATTAACTTCACCAACAGGCCTTGTATTACCTACTCCCTTCCTAACCCTGCAGTCTTACCTTGTGCCATCTGTCTCACTCAGTATGTTCCAACCAACTGGCTTCTGTTCACTCCTCAAACACATCAGTTCTTTCCTGCCTTGAAGCATTGGCATATAGCCCCTCTCCCTGTAAAGTTCTTCACTTGCTAACTTTAACATACCCTCTAGACCTTTAGATTGTGTCACTGTTTTTGAGAAGTATTTTCTGAGTCCTCTTCCTCACAGCTCCTCACCTCAATCCTAAATTTGTTTTTCCTTTTTATTCCCTTTAATAGCACTCTTTTTTTCTTAGTAGTACTAACGACAGTTTGTAATTATGTGTTTATTTTTAAGCTTATTTGCCTTACATAAGTCTTTCCTGTTATACTCTAAACTGTATGAGAACAGGTACTTTATCTGTTTTATTCATCATGGAGTATTCTTCACCAAGTGTGGTCTAAATGTTTGTCTAATCAGTGGAGAAAAGAATGAATATTGCTCATGTATTTTTCTTTTCTCTACGAGGGTATTTGAGAGACTAGGTCAAAAGCCATTCTTTTAACTAGGATTAAAAACTTTGGAATATCATAGACTGTTTATATTATGTGATCTGGTTCCCCAATTTTTTTTTTCAATGGAATCAATAGGTGATTCACTCTGACAGGCCCAACAGGGTATAAGGCATCTCAAAATGAGAAGTTCTTTTAGAATAACAACGGGGATTCTTTCACATTGAGGCAGTTGTCGATCAGTCTCTGTCTTAAAATTCTCATTAAGAGGAGAAAGTACAGAATCTAGATTTTGTAGTGGCAAAGGTCAAGGCAAAATTATTATTAATTATGGCAGTGAAATATCACAGTAATCCTAAGAAAATGCACTCTTAGAAAATGTAAATGTAACAAAATATGAATTGGGGTTCCAAATATATTATGGAAAAATATGCACATTATTAGGTGTGTTTATAGTCTATGTAAAAATGCTTTTAAAAAGTAATACTCACTTAAAAACCAGCATGATATTTGAGGTGCTTCCCAATGCAGAAGAAAAAAAGATAAATATTTGCGCTACTATATAAACATAAAATTTTCTTGTACATTGATCATTTTTGGGGCATTCACCCAACTTCATTGAGTTATTTCTGCTCTGGAAACCATTTACTTCCACACAACTACAGTTATGAAACATCTGAAAAATAGTTTTTGAAATATGACAGAATATATTTACAAAATATGACTGGGCTATAAATATATTCTATTATATTTAAAGACATCTCACTCATCTAAGCTAAAATATTTACAGTTTTTAAAGAAAACATTCTAACAATACAGTTGTTTAAGAATTGGAAGGCAAAATAGTTTCCTGGATTCCTTTATAGACAAGAAAATGTAATTTACTATTAACGTTTCATACATCCCTAAATTAAAAATTAGGAAAGAATAGAAAAAAAGTAATGTCTGAAACTCTGTAAATTATTTTCTCATCAATATAAAATGTTTAAATATTTCTCTACCACTCACTTTTATTTTCTATAGCACACCTACTTACTCTCTTTAACAATCTCTACAGAGTGTTAGTGACACTCCCTGAGTAGGATTGCCTAGGGAATCCAGAAATTATAGTAGTTTTGGAGGGGTCAAACCTGGGTCGAGAACCACCCATTCGAATGGGGCAAAGTCCAGGGCAGAAGGGACCAGGCACGGATGCTAGAATTCCACTTTGGCCAGCAAATACAACATCTGATTGCATAATGACAGATTATAGGATAGATGATGCCATTACCAGAGAGGTTCAACACAACAGAATACCCTAAAGGTTAGAACACAGCTGGAGAAAATTTAGGAACAAATGATTTTAGAAATTTAATTTGGCAGGCAGTTTATGTAGCTAGATGGCTTTAATAAATTCTATTCTGAGTCTAGGCTAAACTAAGGTTTAAGGGAAATTTGAACCCATTAATGCTAAAGACCAATTACTGAAGGAGGAACTGGGGAAGAATTTGAATTCATACTTATCTGATGACCAAGCTTTACCTTTTTTTTACTAAGAATTGTATGGAGAAATTCTTTATGTAGCAAGCCTATCAGCCAATAAAACAAAACTTAAGTACAAAGGGCATTATTTTGAGTGATTAAGAAGGGATGACTTATTACTAAGAATTTGGTAAAAGAACTCCGCAGTGGTCCCTAAATGGTAAAGTATTAAGAAGATGATGTCTCCATAGTAGACAGAGCTCTCTTTAGGATTCTAACATCATGTCTCTTCCAGCCCTTCACGCGTGGACAAGGTGGGACCATAGATTAAACGGGGCACTCTCAATGAAAGGCACTATAGCCATGCATATGAGATATGGGTTTTTAAGTATAGTCTTTGGGCCATTTTTGTGCAAATTTATGACTCAGCTTCAAAGAATCTAGGTTCTTCAAAAAGTTCTCAGTGACCTTCATTAATGCAGTTAGTAGGACTATGGGCAAGAAAATGATGGTAAAGTTTGAAAATCAAAGACAGGAGGATGTGGTAGAGAGCAATGATCATAGCTGATAATATTGCTAATATTGGTGATAGGAAAAGGGCCCAGGAAGTGGGTCCCCAACTTTGTGAGTTATTCAGTGGATTGGAAGTAGAATAGAGAACACCATATCTGATGCCCAGCTATTGGAAGTTACTTGGGGGATTGGGGAAAACTCATAATTTGCATGGAAGGGGATATTTTGAGTGAAGAAGACAGTGGCACTTCTATGGGAGATGTTAGCAATAGGTAAGCAGAATATGAAGTTATCCTGTGTAGGAAAAGTGCCAACCTTGAAAAAAATCAAAATTGGAAGCCAAAAATTGGACAGTCAAGTGAGCATGAAGCCTTGATTAATTTCTTGGAAAGTCAAAAGGGTATTGAGCCTCAAGATAAACTCTCCAGCATCTATATGCAAGGTTGCATCTAGATGGTTGTCCTGAAAAGGCACCCAGATTGACAAGGGGTTGGCTCAGGATTTTCCCCTAGCATCTGAAGCGTAAAGTACTTCCAACCTAATGGAAATCATATCCTTTAGTCAAATGAGGTGCTTCCTAGAAATCATAAATGTTTTTAAATTTCAAAAGGTCATAGTCTTATAAACGCAAGAAGAAAAGGTGGGAGTAATCTCATGAGAATTCAAGCAACAGAAAAACCTGTTTGTGTCTCAAGCAGGATTTTATGTGAGGCTTTGTTTACGCATCACAGCCATCACAATGACAGGCAATAATGGGAATCTTTTTCTATCTTTTTACTGGTGACCTTAGTTGTAGAAACATTTGGTAAGTAATTATCAAAGTTTAAGTAAGTTAAATCAAATCTGCAGTTTTGATTAAGGAGAAGAAAGTAAAAAATAATACTCACAACAGACTTTTTACTGCCACTTGAAGATTTGCATCCTGCTAAACAAGGTGATATGTAAGTTATTCCATTGTCTCCACAGAGTGGTTCCCATTGACTTTGATCACAATTGCAGTCAGAGTTGCAATAAGAAAGTGGTACATTTATATGAGATGCCACTGGATTATTTCTGGAAATATATGATAGACATATATCAGAAAGAGAGAAAAGAAGAAAGAAGAAGAAGAGGAAGAAGAAGAGGAAGAAGAGGAAGGAGAAGGAGAAGAAGAAGGAGAAGGAGAAGAAGAAGAAGGAGAAGAAGAAGCAGGAGGAGGAGGGGAGAGGGAGGAAGGAGGAGGACAAAAAGAGAAGGGGAGGGAAAGGAAAAGAAGGAGGAGAGACAAAAAGGAGATGAGAAATAACGGAAAGGGTTGTCTTTAAATTAACTAGAGATATTTTGCTTGTCCAAAATGGCAAAGTTTATTTTTAGTGCTTATTAACTTTTTCACCCTTTATCTTTACCCAGACATGATTTATGATGTAGAAAAAATAAAACATAAAAAAGAAACCAAAGAGGATAGGTAAGACATAGACAAGAGGTCTTTGTGATTCTGTCAAAAAATTCCTCAAAAATCACTTCAGTTTTCTGAGAATTGGTTTCTGTTCAGTAGGGTAATGGCATTAGACTAAGGTTCTTCCCAGCTCACTGTAAAGTCTCATGAATCTGTGAATGTTAATTAACTAGTTTGAATTTTTAAATCTATATTTTAACTACACAAGGAAAGGATTCAACGTGGTCAAAGCAGAATCCTTAAGGATCAATTTTTAAAAATCAAGAATAATAGAATCAGGCTTCCCTGGTGGCGCAGTGGTTGAGTCCGCCTGCCGATGCAGGGGACACGGGTTCGTGCCCCGGTCCGGGAAGATCCCACATGCCATGGAGCGGCTGGGCCCGTGAGCCATGGCCATTGAGCCTGCGCGTCCGGAGCCTGTGCTCCGCAACGGGAGAGGCCACAGCAGTGAGAGGCCGCGTACGGCAAAAAAAAAAAAAAAAAAAAAAAGAATAATAGAATCAGTTGAGAAAGACTAGAAAAACTTCATATGCTTTTTTAATGAAACCATAACAAAGTTTATAATGATTTACTGTGAAACATCGTTGTATTTATAAAATATAATCTTATAATATGGCTAAAATTATTAAATGGATTATTCATATAATTAATTTTCTGCTTATAGATTTTTAAAATTATTCTTTTTTTTTGGTAAAAATCTTGATAAATTATCTTTGAATGAGAAAGTAATTTTCATGAAGAAAGAAGAAGGTAGATTCAGAAATTCTGTAATCAATGATTTTACTGAAAGCATCTAATACCTAATCCTGCTTGGGGACACACGATGGACAGGGAGTGATTTATCATAATGATTAATGACTCAGTCTGGACATTGCAATCAGACACTCCTGTGTTCACATTAGGTCTGCCATTTCACAGCAATGTGACTACTCTTTCTAAAATTAGATTTGCCATTTGTAAGTCATAAATCCTCATAGAATTTTCTTTGGAAAAAAGTTAATTTAGCTGTTCTCAAACTTTCTGTTACCAGCAGCCTGTCGATTCTTGAAAAGTACTGAGGACCCCAAGGGTTTTTTGTTCAAGTGGGTTCTACGTATTGATGTACATACTCTACTAGAGATTAATAATAAGAAAAATTTAGTACGTGAGAATGTGCAAGCACACACATCCTTAGCCAACAGACTGATATTATCATCACATATCTTGTAGCCTTAGAAAATATCTCTGTACAAGCACAGGGAAGTCTGTTCAATACTCTGTAATAACCTAAATGGGAAAAGAATTTGAAAAAGAATAAATACATGTATATGTATAACTAAATCACTTTGCTGTACACCTGAAACTAACACGACATTGTTACTCAACTATGCTCCAATATAAAATAAAAATGAAAAAAATATATCACTATATACTCATTAGAAAATGAGAATGAAAAAGAAAAATACTATCTTGGTATTAATATAAAAATAGTTTAGAATTTGTTGACCATCTGCAAAAGTCTCAGGGACCCCTGTAGATTCTCAGACCACATTCTGAGAACCTCTACAGTAATTCATACTCTAAAAACTTACCCCAGTGACTAACATTTCATAAATGCTAAATATATTGATTCTGTTAATAGCCATCACTTAGACTATGAGTTCCATGAGGGCACTGAGGTATCCTATAAATTTTTTGACCTTTAAGGAGGCACTCAGTGAAATTTTATTGAATGAAAAAAGCCCATAGAACTCTAGCTGCCTTCTTTTGAATAGATAGCACAGTTACTGTGCTTGTTTCAGGGAACTGGCTTTAGGTTAAAGCCTGTATGCTTGTGCTGTGAAGTAGCATCGTTCTGGAGTCACTGTATGACTTCAAACAAGCCACAGTTTCTCCGGGTCTCAACTAACAAAGGAAGAGGATATTAGAGGGTCGGGCTGCATAATCTCCAGGATTCTCTTCCCTCTAAAGTTCAATGTTCCAGGTACTCTGTATTTTGATATACCAGAGTGAGTGGTGGTCAATAGGAATATTCAACAACAAACAGGATTAGGAGGGAATGGGGAGATAATTCAAGATTAAGTTGGCAAGCCTCCAAGAATAGGATGATGTTTAGGTAAGCAAATGTGGGAAGATTCGACAGGTTCAAATTGACACCTCATAAGACCCAGAGTTTCAAAGCCCAAAGCCAACAATAAGCAGTGCTAAGGAGTCTGGTTACTAAACTGTGATCCAAGGATCTTTGCTTGTTGCTTGAACGTGAACATTCCTAAACTTAAATTGTTGGCTATATTCAGGAGGTGATGAGAAATCTGCACAGGAATCTTGCCCTTGATTTGGGATAGAGACTGTAGTACTAGGTATACTGCACGATGCATGATAATAATGAAAAGTAAAAGCTTTCTAGGTCTAATATGCCATTATGTATAGAGTATTTATCAATTCTACTGCTAATGAAGACAATACCAGAAGAAACAGAATTAGCTTGCAAAAAAGGAGAATTGAGTGCAGTGTACTGGTTTTCTTATAAAGATAATTGTTAAACATCAAAATTAACTGCAGATAAAGATTGTTCAGTCACTTTTGGAAAATGTCATTTATATTTCTCTCATGATTCACCCAAGATCATAGTGGTTAGGATTAAGAGTTTTGGAGTCAAAACCTTCAAATCTGAGTCAGAATCTTAACATTATTAGATATGTAATCTGTGTATCTTTCTAAGCCTTGCTTTCCTTATCTATAAAATGGGGATAAAAGTACCCATCACTCATTGTAAGCACCCCATAAATAATAACTATTACTATTACAAACTATATGGCTTTTCTTTTAAGGAAGGGAAAAAAATAACTTTTTGAGATCTTAAGAAATGAACGTTTTAAGAATTTGTAAATTGAAATTTCTCTGAGTTAAAAGTTTAGTAAAATTGCCATCTGCCTTGTTTGCCTTACTTTCTTTTACATTGGATGGTTTATATATTGTGCTATTGGTATATTGATATATATATACAAACCCATCATAAGTCAAGGTTAGTCCAGCAACTGATTTGTTTTCACAGATTAGCGCAAAATTTAATAGGTGAAATAGGAAGGACAACATATGGCTACAAAATGAAAATTTCGCAATTCCAACCAAGGTAAATTTGAATTTTTTAATGATATATCCTCCTGTAAACACTCCAGATGCAAAAGTTGGTATGGTTATGAATCCTAGAAGTAAGAGAAAAAATGTAATTATATAAATATGGTTATTCTGAATGTCTTTACACATGAAACACTGTATATCAACCAAAATCATCCTATCTTGTTACTTCTTAAATAGAAGGCTGGCAGTCCAGGATGGAGGTAGAGGGTCAGTGCACCATGTGGGGGAGATAAAAATAATTTCTTCCTGCCAATGCTGAAGTTTTAGTTTCCTCAGTAGCAAAAGTCAGTGACTAAGAATATCTGTATGTCTGAACATATGGTTTTTATAAGGTGCTTTTTGTCCCCTCCCGGAAAACAACAACAAAATATCATCTTCCTGACTCTGAGACTTTTATCCTACCATCTAAAATCCTTTGCATTTCCTTAAAACGAAGAGTTCCCATCCTTAAAAACTTACTACAAATTTGCCCAGTAGTTTAGAATTGAACACTTAAATTAATATCTCTTCTTTATTCATCTAAACACACACATACCCTAAGATGATAAACAGGTCTATATGTGATGTTAAAAACAGTTGATTCCTCTTATAACTTTTCCATTTCATTGTCTTCCAAGATTGATTAAAGATGAAGATCCCTCTAACAAAAAAATTAGGCTGAGAACTTTATTAGGAGTTAAATTTACAGTTTTAACTTTTATCTTAAGTTCAATAAGTACATCCTACAGAATTATATTTTTCTTGTTTACTTATGACCTATTCATATATCACTTGATAAATTCAGCTTAACTTATCAAATATTGGGTTTCTACAATGTGCTGGGCCATGTACTAGGTATTCTACTGCTCTTAAGAATCTTATATTATACAGGGGGTAGGGAAAGAATAATATGAGAAAACCTTTCCTTCATAAAGAAGTCTCCATGTGTCATTGGAAACAGATACTGCAGCAAAAAACCTCTCTAAAATACGAGATTTGTGTGGAATTATATAGATACCAATGATGTGTTTAAATTGATTTTTCTCCTGGAAACATCAATGTCCTATTTTTTGTAAGTATCTGGGTCCTGATTCAAAGTCCATGAAGGATAGAAGTATCATAATTATATTACAAAAGGATTTGCCTCAGAAGCTCAGCACTAGATTATAAGATCCAGTTATGCAGATATCATATCTACATGTTCCATTCACATGTCACTTCACATGTCACATGTCATTCATAATGTCACTTCAGGAATTCATCTCCTCAAAAATAACATGAGGTGTAACTTCAAATGCAGAACAATGATGATATCACAAGACCCATCGATTTGATAAAATTTGAAAAAAATAAATGAAAATTATATTTAATAAAATGTGAAGTTGCCTTCACAACAAAATGTCACTTGGAGCTCAGTGACTCAGTAGCATAGCATTTATCAAGCAAACATAAACAGGTCTTACCAAACAAAATGCTAGTCTCAGATGCTGACTGGCCATACTGCTGTTCTACATATTTGAAGACATAAGTAATAATTCCAATATGGCTGCTGGCTTGTAGCAGTGTCAAAACTAATGTTATAACATACAGGGGATTGGTAAGGATGTTTTTCAAGGACTGGAAAAAACCTATAAAAACATAAAAAGAAAGAAAATATTATAATGCAGCTTACATATATATTAATATCTTAATCTTGTAAATATAATTTATATAAGATTTAAAATTCCATAAATATATAGCACAGAAAGTCAGAATATCCTGCAATCCTACTGACAGTTTTAAAAAAAAAATTATTTCAATTTTTTCCATATGTGCATTAATATTTATTTAATTAGTTCATTTTACTCCAAAATGGGATCAAACATACATGCTGTTTTAGTCAGTGCTTTGTTCGCCTCATATTTGGTTATTCTTAGCATTCTACCATACAACTGTATACATCATTAGTTCATTTATTCATTCATTTAACAAACGTTTGGTTTTTAATTGGGTACTAGGCAATATGCTAGGCACTCAAGAAACAAAAGTGAATGAAATGCCATGTCTCTTTTTTATTAGCACTTAATAATATAATCATTATATTAATAATACAATTATTAACTGGAAATTTATCTTAAAGATAGTATAATCCAAAGCTCACAGAAATAAGAAGACTAAGGTTCAAAAATCATAAAGGTCAATTTAGTGCCAGGATTCAGATCTCTTGTTTCCTGGTATATAGCTTTTCTACCATAAAATACTGCCTCAGTAAATCTGGCAGTATTATCCATCAGCTTTCTTAATGACATATTGTGTCTCAAGTGACATTATGATAACAGTAGGGCAAAAAACCCATGCCTACAAACAGGTGTGTAACAAATCCGTAACTTCCGTACCTAGCAAGAATTATGTAATTTGGGTCTATGATCACCAGGTTAACCAGCTGTAATGGGAGTTAAAAGTGGAAGAAACCACTTAGAAAAACAGTGGGAAGTATCAGAGTCTAGCAAGACAGAACCAGATATGGTTACTGAGTTTTGGATGGTGTGGACTTTGAAAGATCTTTTGCTGTAGATCTCTAAAGGTTTCCATTAGATATGGTTAGAACCAAAACTTCTATCCAATGGTAACTAAGAAATAGTTTCATCTGCTTATAATAACAAGAAAAAAGATTAGGGAAAAGGGTATAGAAGGCGAAAAAAGAAGATATAAGGAAATGTATAGCAGGAATAAATAACATTTTAAATTGTTAGGTCAAAATGCTAAACTTCTCTCCATGGGACTCTCCAATCAGGAAGGACAATTGACTTGTGAGGCATTCTAAGTGAGTTGTGATGTTTGATCAAAAGAAATGGGGTATATGGGCTCACCAAATCATTTAATTTTTGAGGTGAGTGAGAACGTGGATGTCATCTGAACTTCTACACAATCATGATCCACTATATATCCTCAATAAACAGATCAATAAACAACTCATTAAGCTGACTATCTCAGAAAGAAATTGCTCATTTTTGGACAATTCTCCTTGTTCACAATTTTTTTTTGTAATGAACTGATATCTTTATTTCTTTCTAACCAACTAGTCTTGTTTCTATTCAAATTAGATATATTATTTTCTGACTAAATGTTCTTAGTTATTTTATCCATTCCTAGTAGCACATAATTAAGAACCTCTTTACTATCTTATTTTGGTCACTATCTTACAAACACAGTTGATAACACAGATGATGTTTACAATTGCCCTATTTTGCATCTTCATTATCCTCTCCATTTTGGGGAGGCTCACAGTCACCACGTTCCTTATTTTTAGATAATCCACTACTTTTTATGGATTTAATATGCTGCAGTGTGAAAATAGCATAGCAAATGAAAATTTATTGGAATGGTATTTTTAGTATGCATGTTTTAGTGTGCATTTTTAGTGTGCATGTTAAATTTTAAAGACTCCTAAATCAGTGGTGTGCTGGTAAATGTTTAACAACTGATTCTTGGGAAAACAACATTGATTTGAGTATTTCCCAATTTCGGTAATAAATGGTGGTAACTTCTCCCATCATGGCCAATTTCAAGCTACCAATGTGACTGAAAATTTAAGTCTTCTCTCATGAGTCAGTACAAGTCACCCCATTGCGTTCGGATTAGAGTGATGGAGAGGAGAAAGTAACAATAAAAGGAGTGAGGGGAAGAACTGATGAGAGGGAGAAATTGGGCTCCACCTGACAAGCTCTAATGTCACTTCAACTTCAACTTGAAAAGGTTGTCAAGGGTTCAGGCATTGCTCTGCTTTGACTCTTACTATTCTGCCATTTCTGTGCAATCTGAAAACTGCACTATTAACATCGTTTCCACTATCTTGCTCTGACTGCCACTGGATCGTTCCCCAAATTACTGCTCCTAAATTGTTCTCCATTAGCCTTCGGGGCTTATGTTTGAAAGGAAGGGCACTATCAAATGGTGGAGGGCTCTTATTCACATGACTGACTACAATAACCTTAACTACTACTGTTGCTTGTACTTCATTTTTTAATATTTAGGTAAGCAATTTTTTCTATATAATTACCAAGAAAATAATCTTACTCTATCTAGAGAGAAACTTCCTCTGATTTCCTTCTCCATACTCCTTGTCTCCACCTAAGAATAGTTAAGTTGCCCAATTTATAGGCACTCATAATTGTTTATATAGGCACTATATGGCAATTGTCTATATATTTTTCGGTACAACCCCATTATATTGTAAATACTTGGAAAACAGAGGCAATATTCTATTACCAGGGCATAGTATGCTTCCTGGTACTAGTTGTGAAAGGAAAGAAGGAAAGAAAGAAAGAAAGAAAGATAGAAAGAAAGAAAGAAAGAAAGAAAGAGAAAAAGGAAAGAGAGAAAGAAAGAAAGGAAAGAGAGAGAGAGGGAGGGAGGGAGGAAGGACAGGAGGGAGGGAGGGAGGGAGGGAGGAAGGAAGGAAGGAAGGAAGGAAGGAAGAAAGAGAAAGACGTTTTAATCCTCATAGTTTGTACTATGTAATTTGGAAATGAATATATACTCTTTGGTTTACAAATAACAGATATTTTTAGCCTTTGATTGGTTTCTCCCTGCTAAAGATCACAAGCCTAATCCCCTTCCCTTCAGAGTTGATATGTGTTCAGAAAATATTTACAAATTTTAGTAGGAACTTAGAAGAATAATTTAGCCAAATTTAGTAAAGAAGAAATCGAACTTTATTTAGATGACTTGAGTATGACTTATTATTTTGGAATATTCACCCCTCCCTTTCACTGGGATTAACAATTCCAAATTGACTGTGAATGTGAAATACTTACCAGCTACAGTTTCACTAACATTTTGCCCCTGCTTGGTCAAATGAGCCATTTGACTCTTTTCCTCATTTTGCACAGGCAAAGATACTGAAGCTTTTTTTTCTTTCCTTGGTTTATCCAAATTTGGGGGCAAGAAAAAGAATGGTATAGAAGAAATAATGGATATTAGTCCAGCCACAAGGAAACCAAGCCACCACGCACCAACCCAACGAGAGTCCTTAGGAGTTATTCTGATAGTGCCTAGAATAAAGAATTAGAAGAAGCCAGTCAAAAATCATTTTGAAATGTAAAAATTTGTGGTAATAATTGTGGTAATTGCTGTCCTCCATAGATGAAGAAAGTAAATGATGTTTCATCAATTCTGAGACACTCTTTTCTTTTTTTCACACTTTTTATCTTTGAAATAAGTGTAAGTCATGACATCTTACAATTGCTGTTGTCCAGGAGTCAGTCATGACATTGTTGTCATTGCCTGAGCCTGTGTGAACTTGGTGGCTTTTCTGGTGACATGACAACAGCAGCCACCATTGAACAGTTGAAGCCTGCAAACTATTTAAGGGCCATTTATGGAAAGCATGATACTCATTGTCTGAAAACTTCTATTGGCACCATCTCCTGAGGTCAAGAAACCAATGAAATTTATAGCACTTCGCAAGAAATTCTCAGAGCCAGTAGTGGGGTTTTTTCCCCCTAGAACCTGCATTTCCAACTCCTTGACAGCACAGAGGATGATAATGGTGAAGATATACGTATAATGAAAATCTGAGTTTAAAATTTAGACTCTAAATTTTAGGGATAATTTAACCATTTTATTTCAATAATATTTCCCTTTAAAGCTGTGTGAGTGCCATGTATGTGCTATATCTAAACAAGTATAAATGAGCTGTTTCAGTAAATATAAAGTTTCAGTATATATTTAAATTTATAAATATAAACATTCTAATAAGAAAACATCACACACACACACACACACACACACACACACACCATAGATGTTTGAAGCACAATAATGGTGTTGTTACTCTTTGATCTATAAGAAAACTCTTTAATGTGAGAAAACATTGACTTGATATATAGAAATAAATTATTAATTCTATTTATTGAAGTGGTTTTCAAATATATACAGCTCTGAGTTTAAAATTGATTTACATGTTCATATTATTCCATAATCAGCAACTCTGACAGACTGCAGAAATGATTGATAAAATCAGTGACTCCATCTACATGCTAAGTACTTATTCATCATCCGTCAGAAGTGTCATTTTGATAACATTTTTTTGTGTTCTATCCCTGGTGTACACATAGGAACTAGAGGTCATAACCTGGCTAGACATAGCCTGCCAAAGTGTTTTCTTTTGTTCACACATTGTTTTAAAAATTGAAAACTTCCACATGAAAATCTGGATTCCAGGATTTTCTTGAAAACCAATCAAAAGATTTTGTCAGTGCTGGATCCAAATTTCTTCATGAAAAGAATAGGTTGAGGCTGAGCAGTATATGCACTTTCAGGTGTGTACAGAGGGCAGTTCACTACCAACAATTCTTCCAAGTTTAACCGCCACACCGAACACTCTTTATTCACTTATGTTATCTCGTTGGCTCCTTTGGCATTGGAGTTTGCCAAAATGTACTTCACAATACATTTACATTATACCCATAACTGAATAAGAGAAGATATAATAAGGTCTAGACGTTCAGTGCTAGAAATGGGATCACCATGGACCTAAATACTGTGAGTAGTGATTTCTGACTATAGAAAAGAGGTTACAAATCTATCATCCTAAAGACTTTAACCATTTATTTCTGGGTGCTTAGTGATAAAAACAAGGATGAACCTGGAAATGATCGAGTAGAAACACTTGGAATGTGAACCTACTCTAATTCACACATCCAAAATAGAAGACATAACACATTCCATCAGGTCCACGTTTTAGCTTTATATTAAAACACTTTCAGATTGTGGTTATTGTTGGTCTGCTGTGATGTCTACTCTATGTAGTCCTGGTGAAATAGAAAATCAGATTTGTTTATTTCTAAACACTAATTACTTATATGTTAAGACAGATATCATACTGTTATGTTCTAAAAGAGATGGAAGATCAGTGGCACAAATATTTATGGCTTATTGTGACAAAGGCTACAATAAAGGCATGCTCTTGGTGATTAATAGGGACATTTAACTTGGGGCCAGTAGGAGGTGGTGAAGTAAGCCATCTCTGAAGAGGAGCCACATATTGGAAAAGACTTTAGAACTATGCAAATCGAGACGGGAGAGAGGGTAAATGTGGGGAAGTGACATTAGTAGGCACATTGAGAGACCTGCAATTATTTGGGGTGAAGTAATCTTAAGTTTGTTAAATTTTCTTATTTTGTGCTTAGTTGTAAAAGCCTGATGTAGATAGGAGCTGAAGTTTATTTTTATTCTAGTTATTAACAGATTACCTATTTGTAACTTTTGACAATTAGTCAGCAAAGGGCCACTGAAAGAGTGAATTCAGTTATTTGAAAGAATGGTGTCATGTACTTGAAAAGCATTATCATGTTACCTTGTTCTGATTGTACTTACTCAGATCTACATATCCAACATCCACATACATTTTAGAAAACAGGGATACGAGTAAAAAGCCAATGATTGGACCAATCATTGTTACTGCAAACAAATTACCTGAAAATATTACAAAACATTTTTATCAAATGCCAATAATACATGGTTCTTATTCAATTTTTTAAAGTAATACAATATATTTCTCTAAGTAATTTTTAAAGTAAAAGAATGAGTTTAGGAGCACTGTTATTTCAAGGTACACCCAGGGAAAGTAACCATAAAATCTAATATTTTCTGTACATTACCTAAATAAAAAGAAGAATGTCCTTCTTTAGCAAAATCATCGATGTAAGAAATCCCCAAGGGTGTTATGGGCGTTTCCCCAATTCCACGAAGCATATTACCCAATAGAATATATATCCACATATGTGACCCAGATTCCTTTTCCCAACCTACGTAGACAAGAGAGTGTTTTATCTTAAACATTAATTTTAGCATTCCTTTTGAAAAGTCAACTAACTTAACCATTTAATTATTCCATTTAAGAATTTTTTTGCTTTTTTTCTAATTATAAAATGATTTATAGTCACGTTACAAAATTTGACAATACAGAAAAGCACAAAGAAAACAAGTAAAAATTATCTGCCATCCCTCCACACACAGAGTACCACTTCTAATGTTTGTTTATATCTTTCACATTTTTAGTGAACATTAAAATATGCATAATATTCTTTATGTTCTCATTTCAGGATTTTAATGACTGCATAATGAGCTGAATAAGTTGCATCATTTATTTAATCAATTTTTTCTATGTACTCACACAATATTTCTAATTTTTCATTCTGTTAAACAGGGATGCCATGGCTATAATGATAAATAAATCCTTCTGCACATTCCTGATTATTTCCTTAAGATAAAGCAATAAAAGTAGAATTGCTGATTTAAGCAGTTATGCATATTTTTGTTCTTTACCATATTGAAAATTAACCTCCAAAAGAGAAATTTATACACTCCTCGTAACACATAAAATGTGTCTTTATCCTCTACCTCATTTCTTTTTATTTTTAATCTTTCCTATCTAGTAGGTAGGAAAATCTTTAACTAGTACTATAATTTATCATTAAAACTTATGATTTATGTTATAATAGGTAAAAATCTTGAATTGGTATAAGAATTTGAATTTTTCTTAAGGAGTAAAATTGTTTTAACATATTTATACCACTTCCTCTTCTTTATATTAATTGCATATATTCTTTGCTAATTTCATATCAAAATATTCCTCTTTTCTTATTAATTCTAGAAGGTCTTTATATATAATATATATTAACACTATGATTTTTGTCTTACATATATAAGATGCAAATGTTTTTCATATTTGTCTTTTAAATCAATTTTGCTAATGGATATCACAATCTTTTTTTTTTTTTTTGCGGTACGCGGGCCTCTCACTGTTGTGACCTCTCCCGTTGAGTAGCAAAGGCTCCAGACGCGCAGGCTCAGCGGCCATGGCTCACGGGCCCAGCCGCTCCGCGGCATGTGGGATCCTCCCGGACCAGGGCACGAACCCGTGTCCCCTGTATCGGCAGGCGGACTCTCAACCACTGCGCCACCAGGGAAGCCTCCACCATCGTTTTTTAACGATGTAATTAAATTGTTAAATTTTAGAATATTTATTAGTGACACTAATATTCACTAGTGCCAGTTCAATTCTTACCTTTTCCCACTATCTCCAGTGATGTTCTATTGAGTAACAAATTTTGATTAATCAAACAAGTTGATAAGCTTGATGTTGAATTCTCTGATGGATTAATAGGGGTGTCTTTAGAATACCTGTAACTGTAAGAACATCACTATATTTACTGAGCATTTTCACTTTTCCCAGAAATACAGCGGAATCTTCCCCTTTATTTGCACCATTCTCTTCTCCAAATTATCAGGATACTCTGTCAGTTTCCCAGCTTATATTTTAGGAGTGGTGATGGGTAACAGTGAAATGGGAGTGTTCACTAAGAAATATAATGCAGTACTCCCCAGGCAAGGTGGAGTACCATGTTGCTCTCATCCTAGCAGTGCTTATATTCTGGGCAACATATGAAATATCTTGGTTTCATGCTTTTAAAAAACTGCTAACTGTATTTATCAATCTTTTGAATTATCTTCAAAGATGGTTATAATCTAAAATTTCAAAATCAATTTATAATCACACACAGTCATATGCCTGACTCTTCAAAACTTAGTTTAAAAAGTTCTAATCCATTTGAATTTGATAAGGAAGCACTTAATAGGAACAATAGAATGGACCTAGAATAGGGACAAATGCTCATATTTAAAAATACATAAATGGACCGAAAGGTATTAAGCTTAGTAAAATAAGTCAGGCAGAGAAAGACAAATACTGTATATTTTCACTTACATGTGAAACCTAAAAAAAAAAAAAGAACAAATATAACAAAACACAAACAGACTCACAGGTACAGAGAACAAACTAGTGGTTACCGGTGAGAAGAGGAGTGGGGGAAGGGGGGAATGTAGGGTAAGGGCAGTTAAGAGGTACAAACTACTAGGTATAAAATAAGGAAGGAGACCTTCAAGATGATGGAGGAGTAAGATTCGGAGATTACCTTCCTCCCCACAGGTACATCAGAAAAACAACTACATGTGGAACAACTCCTACAGAACACCTACTGAACACTGGCAGAAGACCTCAGACTTCCCAAAAAGCAAGAAACTCCCCACGTACCTGGGTAGGGCAAAAGAAAAAAGAAAAAACAGAGACAAAAGAATAGGGACAGGACATGCACCTCTGGGAAAGAGCTGTGAAGGAGGAACGGTTTCCACACACTAGGAAGCCCCTTCACTGGCAGAGACAGAGGGTGGGAGGGAAGCTTCGGAGTCATGGAAGAGAGCACAGTTTTAGCCACAGCCATTAGAGAAGAAAAAGAAATAAAAGGAATCCAAATCAGAAAAGAAGAAGTAAAGCTGTCACTGTTTGCAGATGCATGATACTAAACATAGAGAATCCTAAAGATGCTACCAGAAAACTACTAGAGCTAATCAATGAATCTGGTAAAGTTGCAGGATACAAAATTAATGCACAGAAATCTCTTGCATTCCTATACACTAAAAATGATGAAAAATCAGGAAGAGAAATTAAGGAAACACTCCCATTCACCATTGCAACAAAAAGAATAAAATACCTAGGAATAAATCTACCTAAGGAGACAAAAGATGTGCATGCAGAAAACTATAAGACACTGATGAAAGAAATTAAAGATGATACAGATGGAGAGATATACTATATTCTTGGATTGGAAGAATCAACACTGTGAAAATGACTATACTACCAAAGTAATCTACAGATTCAATGCAATCCTAATCAAATTACCAATGGCATTTTTCACAGTACTAGAATAAAAAAACTCACAATTTGTATGGAAACACAAAAGACACCGAATAGCCAAAGCAATCTTGAGAAAGAAAAAGGGAGCTGGAGGAATCAGGCTCCTATACTACAAACTACAGTAATCAAGACAGTATGGTACTGGCACAAAAACAGAAATATAGATCAAAGGAACAGGATAGAGAGCCCAGAGATAAACCCATGCACATATGGTCACCTTATTTTTGATAAAGGAGGCAAGAATATACAACGGAGAAAAGACAGCCTCTTCAATAAGTCATGCTGGGATAACTGGACAGCTACATGTAAAAGAATGAAATTAGAACACTCCCTAACACCATACACAAAAATAAACTCAAAATGGATTACACACCTAAATGTAAGGCCAGACACTATAAAACTCTTAGAGAAAAACATAGGCAGAACACTCTAGGACATAAATCACAGCAAGATCCTTTTGGACCCACCTCCTAGAGAAATGGAAATAAAAATAAGCAAATCGGACCTAATGCAACTTAAAAGCTTTTGCACAGTAAAGGAAACCATAAACAAGACGAAAAGACAACCCTCAGAATGGGAGAAAATATTTGCAAATGAAGCAACTGACAAAGGATTAATCTCCAAAATTTACAAGCAGCTCATGCAACTCAATGTGAAAAAAGCAACCGAATCCAGAAATGGGCTGAGACCTAAACCGACATTTCTCCAAATAAGATATACGGATTGCCAACAAACACATGAAAGGATGCTCAACATCACTAATCATTAGAGAAATGCAAATCAAAACTACAATGAGGTATCACCTCACTCCAGTCAGAATGGCCATCATCAAAAAATCTACCAACAATAAATGTTGGAGAGGGTGTAGAGAAAAGGGAACCCTCTTGCACTGTTGGTGGGAATGTAAATTGATATAGCCACTATGGAGAACAGTATGGAGGTTCCTTAAAAAACTAAAAATAGAACTACCATATGACCCAGCAATCCCACTACTGGGCATATACCCTGAGAAAACCATAACTGAAAAAGAGTCATGTACCAAAATGTTCATTGCAGCTCTATTTACAATAATCAGGATATGGATGCAACCTACGTGTCCATCAACAGATGAATGGGTAAAGAAGATGTGGCACATATATACAATGGAATACTACTCAGCCATAAAAAGAAACAAAATTGAGTTATTTGTAGTGAGGTGGATGGACCTAGAGTCTGTCATACAAAGTGAAGTAAGTCAGAAACAGAAAAACAAATACTGTATGTTAACACATGTATATGGAATCTAAAAAAAAGGTTCTGAAGAACCTAGGGGCAGGACAGGAATAAAGACGCAGACATAGAGAATGGACTTGAGGACACAGGGAGGGGGAAGGGTAAGCTGGGACGAAGTGAGAGAGTGGCATGGACATATATACCCTACCAAATGTAAAATAGATAGCTAGTGGGAAGCAGCCGCATAGCACAGGGAGATCAGCTCGGTGCTTTGTGACCACCTAGCGGAGTGGGATAGGGAGGATGAGAGGGAAACACAAGAGACAGGAGATATGGGGATATATGTATATGTATAACTGATTCACTTTGTTATAAAGCAGAAACTAACATCCCATTGTAAAGCAATTATATTCCAATAAAGATGTTAAAAAAAGAAATAAGATACAAAGATGTACAGCACAGGGAATATAGCCAAAATTTTATAACTATAAATGGAGTATAATCTATAAAAATAATGAATCACTATGTTGTACACCTGATACTAATATAATTTGTCCATTATACTTCAATAAAATATATAAATTAAAAATACTGAGGTACCCTGTGAAGTCTGAGGGCAACTTACTCTATGCCAGGCATTATGCTCAGCTCCAAATCACTAGAAATAAAACACATGGTTTTTTTACTTAAAACATCTTACACCCCCTAAGGTAAACATATACAATCAAAGATATGATAAGGTTAATATACCAGGTCCTGAGTTTTCGTAAAGGAAAAAGGGATTATCAGCTTGGCTTGCAGGTTTGGAAAGGTGTGGATTAGAGAAGACTTCACAGTGAGGATTCCATATGAGATGTGTCTTGAAGATGGATAGTTTAATAGACAAAGGAAATCATTCAAAGCTGTAGAAACACTATGAACAAAGCTATGACATATTATGGCACATTTGGCAAACTGTAGGCCTAGAGTGTGGTCCTCAGTCATGGGAAGCAGTGTAAAATGAAGCTAGGAAGATGGTCAAGGACCAAATCAGTGAGTGACCTGTATATGCAAATGAGCTTAGATATGCAAATGAACCTAGATAGTAATTCATAGGCAAAAGGCTTTCAATACTTTGACTGTTACTAACAATGAGAAATATATTTTGCATCACAATCACAATACATGGATATCCACACACACACAAATTTATGTACAACCAAAACAAAAGTTTCACAGAATAATATTTATCCCTACTCTCATTGTGTCTTCTATTCTATTCTATCCTATCCTATCCTATTAAAAAATTGTTGGTCTTAATAATCTTAATTGATTTATTAGTCCATGAGTGGTTCAGGATCTGAAGTTTGAAAAATCCTGCTCTAGGATATGGGACTTCCCTGGTGGTCCAGTGGGTCAGAGTCTGAGCTCCCAGGGCAGGTGGCCTGGGTTTAATCCCTGGTTGGGGAACTAGATCCTGCATGCTGCAGCTAAGAAGTCCACATGCCGCAAGTAAGACCTGGTGCAGCCACAATAAATATATATCAAAAATAAAGAAAAATACTGCTCTAGGATATTGGGAGTTTTAAGTGGTAGTAAAAAAATTAGATTCTTATTTTTTAAATCAATACTGTAGTATAGAATATGAGTTAGAATGAAGTGGAGTTGGGAGGCAAAAAGTCCAGGCCAGAGATGATAGAATCCTCTATCAGGTTAAGGGCAACAACTATGACAGATAGCAGGCAGAATAAGCAAGATTTGGTGACCACTGGTCATGTGTATTGAAGTAAAGAATAAGTCTAGGATGAGACCCTTGACTTTAGTTTGAGTTCCTCTGTGGCTAAATGAATCATTGCTGAAAGAGTGAATGTGAAAAATCTGAGCTGGTGATGGCACAGGGATGAATTCTGTTCTGAATATATGGATGCAAAATGTTTGTAGGATGTTAGGTTGGAGATACCCATGAGGTGGTTGGTTATATAGATCTTGAGTATAAGATAAACTCACTGTGTACAGTGATAGTTGCATTTAATGCATGTACTCCACACAAATCATGTAGAATGAAAAGTGAAGAAGATTGAAGAGGGAGCTTAGGCAATACTGACCTTATGGTGTCAGTAGCAGAAGGAAAAGATGGGCATGATGGAGAAGCCAAAAGGAGGAAATAAATCAAGAGAGAGTAAGATGATGAAAATAAGAAGGAACAGCACCAGGAAGAAGAAAGAACTTATGAGGGTCAAATAGAGTAATTAATATAGTAACCAAAAGGCATTGGCGTTGAGTAAGTAATTGATATCTTTAGCAGAAACTGCTCATTGGCTCTCAATATCCATTCTTCTTTCCTTCTATGGTAACAGAACCTGGGATCTTTAGCTGGGAAGGGGACACCTGAAGTAAGGTCTATTTTTCCCAATGACTTTCTATCTGAATGTGAGGTGTAACAAAGTTCTGGCTAATGTGAAGTTGGTAGAAGGGTTATGCTTCTGAAAATATTTCTTAAGTCTCAGCCTGTGTGCCTTCTGTTTCTTCTTATTCTTCTTCCCTTCTATCCTGTTGCGAGGAACAACATTGCCACAATTTAGACCGTGAAGTCAAGGCCAGTCAAGGGCTGGGTTGGCTACAATTTTTTATGTAAAAAATAAGCTCTTATCTTATTTAAGCCTTCACTATTTTTGGTTTCCTGTCATTAGTATCTGACTCTAATTAAAACTACACAGTGACTTAGGAAGAAGTCTCAGTGGAGGTGGTAGTGGGAAAACCCATACCGCAGTGAGTTGAGTGGTGAAGTTGTAAGCAGCTTTTGGCAGGAAAGAGGTTCTGCAGGAGGCCCCTTTGTCCTGTCACTTTAGCAAAACTACATTGTAACTAACATTTAAATCAGGCGCCCCATACTCTACTCATCACCAACCCAAGTACACCTTTCAAATCTTTTGATCACACAATACCTTGCCTAACCTGTTGGTTCTTTCTGTAGATCAAAGTAGAAATGAAGAATGAGTAATTAACAGATGACCAGATCTCTTCCCTAGCTTTCCCTTCAGTAATCTCATGAACAAACTATGTGAACAAGATAGCATCTAAAGAAAAATCACAAGAAGCCAACAAGCCTGAACACAGTGGGGGATGGTGACGACTTTGACCCTCTATCTCAATGATTAACTGACATTACTTCTCTTTTCCCTTTAAAAACTTTTATAGCCAAACAGAATCATGGGAGTTGGTTTGGGGGGACATGAGTCCACCTTCTCCCTAGATTGTTGGCATTCTGATTAAAAGCAACTTGCCTTTCTACCAACAATTGCCTCTCAGGTATTGATTTTCGAGTGGTGAGCAGCTAGACCTGAGTTTGGTAACAAAGACTTATTAAATATTATCAAAATCTTGTAGGCAAAGACATGAAATACATATCATACTAAAAAGCTTATTTATTTTCTGTGAAACTACTCATTTATTGCTATTCATATTTTAATATCAATGAGAGTCATGGTAGATAAAACAATTTAATTATTACATAGAAAATATACTCCATTTCTACACACACTTAGTGGATATTCTTCTCAAAAGGGGACTGCTTATTTAAAAGGAAAAAAATAAAATTCTACCATTAATTTACAAGGAAATGATCACTGATGGCATAGAGCCACTTACTATCCCATGAAGAAATGAGGTAAAGCAGTCAAAATACTTCCAATTCCCATAACGAAGCAACCAATTCCGATTAGTTTTGGTCTGTGTAATTTGGCTCCAAAGTAACTCACAAATAAAATCACAAGCAAATTTCCTAGAAAGAAAACAAAATTATTTTGATATGATTGATTATAGCAAACAGTGACTGAGTCCAATTTTGTGTCCAGTAGAATGGAAGGCCACAGAATGGATAAAAATAGAGCATAAGACATGGTACCATTCCTCAAAGATCGGGTAATTTTTTTTTTTTAAATAGACTCTGCCTTTATTTATTTATTCATTCATTCATTTATTATTTACTTATTTATTTATTTTGGCTGTGTTGGGTCTTTGTTGCTGTGCGCGGGCTTTCTTTAGTTGTGGCGAGCTGGGGCTACTCTGTTGTGATGCGTAGCCTTCTCGCTGTGGTGGCTTCTCTTGTTGTGGAGCCTGGGCTCTAGGCACGCGGGCTTCAGTAGCTGCAGCACATGAGCTCTGTAGTTGCGGCACGTGAGATCAGTACTTGTGGCACGTGGGCTCAGTAGTTTTGGCTCATGGGCTTAGTTGCTCTGTGGCATGTGGGATCTTCCCAGACCAGGGATCGAACCCATGTACCCTGCATTGGCAGGTGGATTCTTAACCACTGCACCACTGGGGAAGTCCCCGGGTAATTTAATTACCCGGGATGAAACTCACTTACCTTAAGCCACTCACTATAAAGTTGTGTGGTGTTAATAATAAGCAGAATTGACTTTAGATAAGAACTAAAGTACTTGAATTACTTGGCGATATTAGTGAAGCAAAATTTTATGAAGAATTTGGAGTTGAGTGGGTTGTACTGGAATGGAGAAAAATGGACAAAAATACCTGAGGGAAGGTATTTATTCATGCATTTTTCATTCACTCCTAGAAATCTTTAAATTCTTATTAAGTACCTGTCATGGGGTTAGAAGCCAGAAATAGAGGAAAAGAATAAACAGTGCATGGTATCTGCTCTAAAAGAACTTACCTACCAGTGACAAAAATAGATAAATGGACAGAAGTACTCTTAGACCACAGAAAGCGGAAGCTTAAATTAATTAGAGGTTTCAGGAAAGTTTCCTGGAGGAGAAGTCACTTGAGATTTAATGTTAGCTATAAGTTATTTAGATTCAAAAGAGGAAAAAGACCAATCTAAGTGGTGGTGGTCATGACCAATTCCAGTCCATCTGGAGCTACAAGTATAATAACGAACAGACAACAACCAAGAATTACTGAACATTTGATGGAAAAAAATAACATGAAGTAAAAGCACCAAACTGAACCAGCAGATAAAGTAACCCATGAAGAAAACAGTTAAATGAGGAAACTAAGAAGAGAAGACATTTTGAAAAAATCCAGTTAGTATCTCTAGAGGTACAAAGGTATGTTGCATCCATAAAATAAGAACTAGCAGACTAAAAATAATAAGAGAACAATAAAGTATTGTTGAAAATTTTAAATACTCTACAGAAATGTACATATTGGGACCTGATACAATAAGATGAAAGATGGCATCAGCAAAGACTGATGGAGTTTCAAGAAAAAAAAAAGGTCGAATTTTAGAAAGAAAAACTTAAAGTGAAAAAATAGCCAGAAAATTTAATATTCATATATGTTTCAGAAGAAAATAGAGGGGATGGAACAAATTTAAATATAGAAAATAAATTTCCTGAGGTAAAGGAAGGCTTAAGACATCAGATAAAAATTTCTACATTTCTCCAGCATAAATAATGTAAAAGAGACCATCCTAGGTATATGTTGGTAAAATTTCTGAAATTCAGGCATAAAGAAGAGGTCCTATCAGTGCATGACAATGATACTGGTAATGATTTCTTATGTATAATATTGTGTTATAACACAGTAGATACATGTTTTTAATGTTCTGAGAAAAAAAGATTCTGAAGTTTTAATTTCATACTCAAATTATCAGTTGACTATGATAGTAAAATAAATACATTTTCCAACATGCAAGGGCTCAGAAAATATGTCTTATGTTCAATTATTTCTGGAAAAAAAAAGCTACTTGAAGATATACTCCAGAAAAACTAAAGATGAGACTTGAAGTCATAAGGTTCAAGAAATAGTGTTAAGAAGGAAACCAGTAAAACTTATAACCATGTCCAACTAATTGCTTTTAAATAGCTACAAAGTTTAACAAAGATAATAAGAATCAATTCCTCAATATAAAGAGATATACAATGAATTAGAATTTAAAGCTAATCACAGTCTAATACTAAAGTTCTAGATGGTTTCATTAAACCTAGAAGGTGGAAAAGTGAAGGATATGTATGGTGTAATAGCCTCTGAATCATGAAAAGGCAGAATTCATGACCAAAAGATAGATGGGTCTTCCTTTACACAATTATTTTTTAAACATTCAATAAACAAGTATATTTTTAAAAGGTTAAAAGATAAAGAGCAAACTTGTAAAAAATATGTGCAATCTATACAACAGACATACATTTTGAATCCCTTCAAATCATTAAAAGGCGGGGGGGGGGAGGAAAATGGGCAGAGGTAATCAGCGACCAGTTCATAAAGTAAGAGAAAAGAATGTTAAATAATTATATAAAACCTCACTGTTATTGGAGAAATCCAAATTAAAATGAAGACAACAAAACAATATACTCAATGTTCTAAAAAAAAAGACTTTTAACCCCAAATTTTATACCCAGTTCAACAGTAGACCCTAACAAAGATTGCTTCAAAATTGTTCTCCTCTCCTCAAATCATCAGAATCATAATCCTCTCTCCAACATTTTTTTGCACTAGGACATCTTGAGAAAGAGAAGTTTTAGCCCTGCAAAATATTAGTTTGCAGGAAACGAGTTTGTGTAAATCAGGGTTTTCTAACTTCTATACTTTTGACATTCTGGACTAGGTAATTCTTTGTTTTGGAGGCTGTCTTGTGCATTGTGGGATGTTTCAAGGCATCCCTGGCCTCTACCACTAGATGCCAGTGACATTCCCTAATCCTCAGCAATGACAACCAAAAATATCTCCAGATATTGCCAAATTGCCCCTGGGCAGGGGGTGGGGATGGGGGCAATTTACCCCTGGTTAAGGATCAGTGGTGTAGAGCGTATGTGAACACTTTTTTACCTCTGCAAATCTCGTTACTAAGTAATAATCAAAACAGAAACAAAAATTACCCATTTCAAAGCTTCCATCAATTAAGCCAACAGTAGAAGATGATATGTCAAATCTCCTTTCTATTTGAGTGATGGAACCTTTCATAATGATTGCACTTAGTGTCTTAGAAATAAAGCTGAGTGACAGGGCTGCCAAGAACATCTAAGAAAAAGCAGAAGGAAAGGGAAAAATAATTAATCATAAGGTCACATAATGCTTATATATGCATAGAATTAAAATAGCGTTTCTTCTTTACTTAGTAATATTTTTATTATAAAAAGCATACCCACCTTTCTTCTATTCCAGTTGGTACTTCTTAGTCCTTTTAACATTAACATCAGTGTACCGATAAAGTACCATTTTCTTTCTTCCTTTCTTTTTAAAGCCAATTTAGTTAGTTATTCCAACTGTGCTGCACGGTATGTGGGATCTTAGTCCTCAACCAGGGATGGAACCTGCACCCCTGCATTGGGAGCACGGAGCCTTAAGCACTGGACCGCCAGGGAAGTCCCTCATTTTCTAACTTGGTAACAATATCAGATTATTAGAGCAGGACAGTCAAAGTTGTTATTTTTTAATTAATGTCATTAGCTGATTTCTAAGAAGCTAGATAATGATGTGAGATGGCCAGGATGACAAGCTATTCTTTAGTCCCAAATGAACAGCAAAGGCGAACTGTGAGGGGAGTCGCTAGACATTCTCAAAGGTAGTATTTCCAGGAAGTCAGCTGAAAAAATTTTCATTTATAAAACCTCGCTAATATTGGAGAAAACCAAATTAAAATGAAGACAACAAAGCAATATAGTCAGTGTTCTAAAAAAAATAGAAGACTTTCAAGCCCACTGGTTATAGATGTTTTATTTTCACTTTGATTTTAACAAAATTTATCTATTCATCTTTCTTACAGCCCACACTTATATCCATAAGTAAATTCCTTTTACATCCAGTATTATTACCCAGAGTCACAGGATCATCATAAGATTCAGCAATCCCACTTCTGGGTATATATCCAAAAGACTTAAAAAAAGGATCTCAAAGAGATATTTGCACATCCATGTTTACCACAGCATTATTCAAAATATCCAGGAGGTAGAAGCAATCCAAATGTCCATCAACAGATGAATGGATGAGGAAAATATGGTATATACATATAATGGAATATTATGCAGCCTTAAAAGGAAGGAAATCCTATCACATGCTACAACATGGCTGAGCCTCAAAAATATTATGCTTAGTGAAATAAACCAGTCACAAAAGGACAAATATTGTATGATTCCGCCCATATGAAGTATTTAAAGAAGTCAAAATCATAGAAGCAGAAAATAAAAATTCAGTTCCCCAAAACTGGAAGAAGACAAGAGAGAGTATTAGTATTTAGTAAGTATAGAATTTCAGTGTTGCAGGATGAAAAAGTCTAGAGATTTTTTGTACAACAATATGAATATACCTAATACCACTGAACTGTACCTTCAAAAATTGGTTAAGATGGTAAATTTAACATTATATGTTTTACCACAATAAAAAATGCATTTTCCCGTTGAAAAAAATGTGGGTGGTCTTTTGCTGAGAGAAGTAACATGTCCCACTGGATATATTCAGAGTGTTACTGGCTGAAGGGTAATGGTACATTACTACATAATTTCATTTTTTTCCCATAACTTCACTGTTGTTGTCCCCTGACCTGTGAAGTTTTATACAGATGTAGAACTTCTTGGTAAACCTTCCCTCCTCCATTCCTCTCCCCACCCTTTACTTAAAGTTCTGTTCTTTTATATAAATATAAATAAATAAATCATATATATATATAAACATATATATTATATGTGTGTGTGTGTGTGTGTGTGTGTACAGCCATGGGAGAATTTTTTATTTTATTGAGTTTGTTGCCTCCTTTCAAGAGTGGTGAATGAAAATATCTAATACCTAGTGATTCTTGCCTATCTGCTTTGTTTTACATATGGAAGCTCCCGTTTCCTTGTCTCTGAATATTCAGTCTTTGTGAAGCCTATCTGGGATGGAGAGGCAGAAATCTTTAGCAGTAGGGTAGTTAAGAGTTAATCTGCATATGGGCACCTCACTTCTTCATGAGTGTTGCCAGCCACTTGAGACACCGTTCTGCTCCATATGCCCGGGAGGGCATCCGCCCACGCTCACTACCTCCTGCCCAGGGTAGATGTCTCTGCAGTTTGCTGCTTGCACTAAGTGGGGGAGGGTAATTTGATGATCAGGGAAGATGTTAAACAAGGAAAGAAGCATGTTTTCTCTGATTGAGTGGAATAGCCTATACAACAACCTGTCGGTGGTCCCTGGGACCTCTCTTGATCCCATTATCTGTGGCTTTTGCCTTTGAAACATGCTTGGAAGCCATGTCCATTTTTTTTCAGGTTTCTTTTCCTGCACTTGTCTTGGGCTGTGATTTCTTTCTTTAGCCTAATTCTTTCTACTTCTTACTTTTTAGAAAACTCTCATACTTTCTGATTTACAGAATGTATCTCTTCTTGTTTTCTAGCACATCTACAAGTTGCCTTTAATACATTTTACATTATTTATTAAAATTGGAGGGGGGAGGAGAAGGCTTCAACCTTATTATTCTGTCTGTCTTATTGAGCTAGAAGTCAAGTTCTGCCCTTCCTTCTCTAATAAATAGAAAAAAAATGTTATCAGGCTCCTATCAAACTCAGATGCCTGACACATAATGAGTAAGTATTCAATAAATGTTTTTTGGTTGTTGAATAAATTGTTATTCCCCAAATTTAGGTTATAAATCTGGTACAGAGCTTACATGTAGTGAAACCTCTCATTTCCTAGTTTCCTCAGCTTTTAGATGGAGATAATTACAGTAAAATTGTTGTGAAGATTAATTAAAATAATATACATAAAATTTGGGGCACATAGTATTGAGAAATGTCTGTTTTTATTATCACTTTGAACTATCATCATTCAGCTTTTGGCTGTAAGTTCGGTCAAATAAAAATAGGACTCTGATTATTTAGCCAAACACATTTTTTGTCAGGCACTATTTCAGGTGCTGCAGAATCAGTAATGAGCATACTGGCAAAATGATTTATTGATTATTAAAGAAATACTGAGGCAAACTTTTACCTAAATCCTTATCATCAAAACACTAATTGGTAAAATCAAAGAGGAGGGAGTTTCATAAAGTAACAGGACATCTCAGTAAGCAGATACAAGCATAACCAGATGTAAAACCTGTCCTATATAAGAGCAGCTTTCTAAAAGTTCAGAGAAAGATTTTGTAATGTCCATGTCTTCAATCTTAAAAGGAAGATTAGCTCAAGACAAAAGAGAGACTCAATAAAGTCAAAATTCGTACAGTATAATCCTAAATTGGTTTTACAAAGAAGAAAAGGGTAACAGATGCAAACACAATGGCTACAGTAGGATTCCTCCAATAAGCTAGGATTTTAGAAGGATATGAAATGAGTTAATATAGACAGATTTATAAATGTGCTTTCTTTTACTCTATAACCCTGGGAGATGGGCATTTTTAACCATGTTCCTAATGTGAGGCTGAATTTCAGAGAAAGAATGATATGATTTTCTCAGAACATAAAAAATTAAATAATAATAAAACTGAAATCTCCAATGAAAAATATTAAAAGACAAAAGCATAAGGATAGAGAATTTAAGATTGAGAGATTTCAAAACAGAGATACGAATGTTCACAATCATCAAATAGATTTTAAAATATCACAGGCAGAAAGACACAGCTAGCATTGAGATAAGAGGTAAAGTCTATATTTACCTGCAGTCGTGGCAGGTCAGTCCTTTGTTTATGATGGCAAGAGTCTTAGAATTAAGGTCAGAAAACAGTTCCAAGTTTCTACATTGCCATATGTACAGCCATGATTAACTCAGTTAACTCATAGGAACCTCAAACAAATTTACTCAGCAAACATTTATCGAGCAGCTACAATATGGCAGTTCCTCCACTAAACCTTGGAGTTGAGACAGGCACAGAGTAAGAAAGGAAATAAAAGCAATTAAGACGTAATAAATGCCCCCTAAGAACTAATGTTTCCCTGGGCCAATAAACAATTAATGCCAGTATAATAATGTAATGAGTACTGTAATTGCTATACAGTTCTAAATCTATGAGTACACAGAAAAAAGTGATTAATTCTTGCTACACAGGTCAAAGTTTCTATAGATGTGCTAACATTTAAACTAAGTCTTTAGGGCTTAATAGAAGCTTAGAAACCGAAGAAGAAATAAACATTTAAAACAAAATAGGAAACACATGAAAAGCCCCAGAGTAGTGAAAGAACACAGATCATTTGAAAAACAAAAAGAATATCTGTGGGTGGAATATAAGGATAGAAGTATGCCAACCATTGGGAGATCAATATGTATTTTTAAATGTGATGTAAGGAGATTAAATTTTAGAGGGCTAATTCTGGTAGCCATGAGGAAAATGAATTTATGGCAAATAAATTAATTAGAAAGCTGATTTCAGAAAAAAAGATGAGCAGAGATGGGAAGAGAGGACTAAAAGGTTACAGACACACTCGGAAGAAGTTTAAGAGGAGAACCAATAAGATGTGGGAATAATGGAAAATAAGTATTCTGATTTTGTTTTATAGTTTGTATAACTGTATGTAGTAATACTATTATTGGGGATGAGAAAAAGAGAAGTCTTAGGGTTAAAGACAATGAAATCATCTTTTCAAAACTCAAATTTGAGATGTCTAAAAATAAACATCTACCAAATAGACACAACTAAGGCAGGGTTTGTGCTCAAGAGAGAGTTTTGTCTGGAAGTAGTTTTGAGATTTACCAGGGAATAACTGTACAATTAATCCATATTCAGGCTTATTCCATTAAAAAGCTTCCTCCTGCCCCACTGCATCCTCACTTTTCCATAACTCTCTCTCGTTTTTTCCAGTCAAATCTGAGAGTTGTTTACGTTTGAATGAATCAGATCTTATTTTTTGCATCATTTTTCAAACTATCCTCAGCAGGCCTAGGATACTTTAGCTATTCCAAACTTTATTTCAGGGTTTTGTTTCAAACTCTCTTCTCTTTTTATTCTACATACTCTTTCTGGAAAAACTCATAGATTGTCATTGTTTTTATTGCCACCTAAATGCTGATGATTGCCAAATCTATATTTTAAGCCAAGCTTGCTTTTGCTGAGGTTT